ACATCCCCTAGGGATGAATGTTGGTGCCATTTTTTTTTTCCATGCAGGCTCAACTCTAGAAGAAAAGAATAGTCCGTTTGCTTTATTTAGCAGCTGAGGAGGGAGCTGTCTATACAACCTGATGGATCCAGGTGCCCCTCATATCCTGCCCTCCCAGAGCTGAGTACTAAAGCCAGAATTGGGTTCTGCCTCCAGGACCATTCATTCTGGAGCTTTCTTCAGAAGACTTCTGATGAGGGAAAGGGCTAATGGAGGGATATAAGGCAGGAGATCAACTCTGTTACTATTTCTCAAAGAAGATGTGGAGCCCAGTGTCCATATTAGGTGAGGAAAAGGGCCCAGAGTCTGTCTGAGGACACGGGGCGAGAAACAGAAAATTAAAGCATCAGAGACTCGGACATCTGGTCCCTGGGGCCAGTGATTGAATGCTACTGCTTCCTTGAGGAGCAGGCAAGTCAGAGCCCCAGACTGAGCCTGACTGGGGAGGGAGATGCTCAAGAGAGCCCTCTCCAAACCAGCAGGGCCAATCCCTGGTGGTCAGGCCTTGGGTTTTGAAAGTTCTTCATCTCCCCGTGTCCTGGAAGAGGCCCCCCTGCAACTCCTAGAGCCCCCCTTTTCCTGGAGTACAAGGTGAACCCATGTCCTTGGATACTTACTTGCTGACTTCAACATTACCTGAGCACAAAGGGTCCCTTCAGTGGGAATGAGGTTGGAATTCAGGCCTGATCACCAGATTGTCAGAAGAGTTAACTGACCTTGTTCTATAGAAAACAAGGCCAGGAAAATAGGACCCTTACTTGGCCCTGAGCACTTGGCAATTCCATCATTGCCTTTGGTCAGCCATATTCTGGAGCTAGAAGAGTCCCAGGTAATAAAAGGAACAAAATAGTTTTTAAAAATCACTAATACTTCAAATGAAATAATGGGTCTAGGTAGCAATCATCAGTGGATGTTAAGACCATCAAGTGAAAGGTTAATGGAAACTTTGTGGACTGACACTACCTAAACCCACTGATCAAACCTGGTATCATTAGAAGTTGAAACAACCAGATACTATATGCCTCACAGTATTAGCACCAGATTATGAAGTATTTGTGCCTAAAAATATTGATATTGAAAATAATTTAGGACCTGGAGATAACTACCAGCTTATAGGAAATACGGAGGATAGAGGAACATATTACTTGATCCCACAAGAAAGCAATCAGACAAATACAGAACACAAGACAAATTACCTGGTTCCTCCTCAAATCAATGTGAAGGTTCACTGCTTTAGAATAAAAGAAACCAAAAAGACATGGTCATGTGCAATATCTGGATTTTGAAAAAGCCAACTCTAAAAGGATGTCTGAGGTAAGCAAGAAATTTGAATATGGACTGGGTTTAGATGAGAGTGAGAACTGTTGTTAATTTTGTTAAGTAATCATGACAGTGTGGAATAGGAAAACTCTTATAATTGGAGATACAAACTGAAATATTCCAGGTGAAATGACAAGCTATCTAATACTTGCTTTGAAGCACTCTAGCAGGAAAAAATGGGAGGGGTAGGTGAAACAAGATTACCAAAATGTTGATAATTATTGAAGTAGGGTGATGGAGGTTCTTTTTATTCTACTTTTGAGTATGTTTAGAAACTTCCATAGTAAATGCACACACACACACAGACACACACACAACTGTGGTGCCCTTAACTGCTAAGCAGATCTCAGTTCATACTTTATTATGTAAAATTCAGCTGCAGCTTGGGGTCTGAGAAGAACAGACTTACACAAAATAGGTAAGGAATACCCATAGAGAATTCTGTGAGACTCTTGCTTCAAACATTTTGGATTTACAAAGATGACTTAAAACAACAGGATAGCACTACCCACCTATTAGAATGGCCAAAACCTTAGCCTCCAACTAATAAAAATAAATGGAAAAAAAAAATAGAATGGCCAAAACCCAAAGCATTGACATCATCAAATGCTGGCAAGGATGTGGAACAACAGGAATACTCATTCATTGCTGGTGGGGATTCCAAATGGTACAGCCACACTGTATGATACTATAATGATGGATACAGTCACTATACATTAGCCCAAACCCATAGTGTATATAATACCAAGAGTGAACCCTAATGTACACTATGACCTTGGGGTAATAATGATGTGTCAATGTAGATTACTCAACTGCAACCAATGCACCACCGTGGTGGGGGACATTGATAATGGGAACTTTATGTATGTGTGACAGAAGGTGACATACGGGAAATGCCTGCACCTTTTGCTCAACTTTGCTGTAAACTTAAAACTGCTCTAAAATATAAAGTCTATTAAAAAAAAGACAATTAAAATGATCTTTTAAAAAATATTCTATAGTCTCCACAATGGACAGAAAATTTCTATGTAAGAAGAATCTAAAACTCAATTTCTTGGCAATTCTGGGGACTGGCTACTAAGGTAAACAAAATAACCAGCATATCCTACAGACAAACATGCAAAGATGTCTACAGGGCACATCAACAAGCCAGAACACAGGGGAACACATGAACATATGTGCTGACACACCCTAGGCATAAAGTACACACATGTATACTGACCCTACCACCGAGTCTAGCCATCAGGACACGTGTAAATGTCCAAATACTCACAGGACATGAGAACATACTGCCTCCCAGACAGTGCTGAAATATAAATCCAAATGCAAACAGACAAATTTAATAGTACTGAATATTAATGCATGGCTGGATAGAGAGGAAAATCTTTGGAAATGAAAATAAAACTCTTTGAACATCCATCCTAGTACTCCTGGAAGATCTTTTGTAACTTGAGGGGAAGTTTAAAGTTGTGTCTCCAAAAAAAAAGAAATGTCAAAAAAAAAAAGACAGCGATTGACTTTCTTGTACTTCATTCTTCTCACATCACACATTTCTTCTGGGAAATCTAACCCAAAGCCTCATTCAGTACCTGTGTACTAACCACTCCCAATTCTCCCTCGCTAGCTCACACCTCTCTCTAAGCTTCAGACCTGTAATTCCAAGCACTCATTGAACAGTGCCTCTTGAAAATTAAGGTACAGACTAAGTTTATTTCTCTCTCATATGACAATTCAGAGGTGGAAGGCCCAGAGCAAGTTAGATGGCTCTGCCGTCTTCAACATATCTCTGCCCAAGGTGGCTATTTCACTTTTGGTATCTTTCAGCCAGCGGAAATGAGAAAGGAGTCAAGAGTGTTCATGCCCAAGCCTTCTAAGAGCAAGACACACATTACTTCTCACATCCTATTGGTCAAAGTATGGTCACATGGGTGCTTTCTGCAAGGGAAGCTAGCAAGTAAAGTCTTTAGCTGAGTGACCGTGTCCAGCTAACATTAATCCTTGCAGAAGAAAGACAGAAAGATATTGGGGGATAATCAAGTCCAATATAAATAGAAGTCAGCTTCTCATCTTCTTGGGGCTTCCCAGGTGTCTCAGTGGTAAAGAATCCACCTGCCAATGCAGGAGACACAAGAGATGCGGGTTCAATCCCTGGGTCTGGAAGATGCCCTGGAGAAGGAAATGGCAACCCACTCCAGTATTCTTGCCTGGGAAATCCCACGGACAGAGGAGCCTGGCGGGCTACAGCACATGGGGAAGCAAAAGAGTTGGGTACGACTGAGTGACTGACCATGCATGCATCAACTTCTTGGCCCCCTCTCCTAGGTATATCTGTTTTTCTCCTTTGATCCTCAGATTGATAAATGACCCAACATCTATGCAACCATCTAAGTAGGTTCGCCAGATTAAATACAGGATTCCCAGTTAAATCTGAATTTCCATTAAACAAGAAGTCATGTTTTTGGTTATCAATATGTACCAGTATTCCATGCATTTTTATATGCTGAATCTAGCAACTCTAAACCAAAACCAGAAGCCTTGACGCCATTCTGAATTCTTCTCTTTCTTTCCCATTTTCAGCTGTCTTCCAAGTACTGCTAATCCTCTTCCATCTCTCTCAATCTGTCCCTTCCACCTTCACTGTGCCTACTGTCACTTGCTCTCCCAAAGATTTCTGTATTACTTCCTTCGTGGCCTTCCCATTTCCAGGCTTGCCCCCATCTAATTCAGGCTTTGCACAACAGGGAAACTGGTCTTTCTAAAAGGTAAACTTGACCGCATCACTCCCCTGAATAAATTCTTCCATTCCAAGGAAGATGAGTGAATGTTGAATCAACTATAATGTAGAGTCACAGGGACCCTGTGAGGTTCATATCCTGGAAAGTGGAAAAAGCATGGTAGACTACTAAGAGCTTAGAAAAGAAGAAGGTCTCAGGTCTCACGATAAAGAAACTATCCTATTGAAAGTGAACATTTGAGCAGAGCTGACACCAGACCGGAGCAGAAACTACAGGGAACGTGTTGCTTCCCTGTGCATCTCCAGGGTTGCTTGTCTGTGCAACCACAGATGTAATATTTTCCGACACACTGATATGGAAACACTGGACTTGATACCTGCTTTTAAGATTGCAGAATTAAAATCTCCTTCATTCCTCTAAAAAAAAATTCTTCCATTCCCTTGCTCCCCATAGCTTTCAGGATAAGCTTATTAGCCAGGCCGTTAAAAGTCCTGACCCTCTGGCTTCTCTCTCTCTCTCTCCTCCCATCTCTCTCAGCATATAATCCATCAGAAGTCCTGAGAGAAGCTCGAGCTGCATCAAGTCTCTGGGAGCCCTGTGAGACTGCCACTTGTCCCTTTTGATCATGTATCTCCTCCATCCAGCAAGAGTTTCTAATTCCTACTGCCATCCCCACGCACCCTACTCCTCTTTGCCTGTCTAACTCTTACTTATTCTGGAAAACCCAACTGAAATGTCACTTTCTTCTTACTTACTGTTTTAAGCACATATTTTTGCTCCCATAGCCCTTGACACACACTGTATTGTAAGAGTTGACTTATCTGCATGTTTTTCCCAACTACATTTTAAGTTCCTTCAGGGTGAGGACTGTGTCTTATTTTGATACATTCAGCAACTGATCGGCACTAGTAAACAATAAATATTTATTAGCTAAATAAATATTTGGCTTAAAGTGGCCTTGCTCCCATTCCCTGCTGATCCAGCAGGGCTCAGTTGGACAAACTCCATTTCCAGATGTGAGTTTTCTGTGCCAGTCCTAAGCTTGTTGTATCTTTGTCTGCACTGAAACTCTGGGCTTTGATTTCTCTGGCTCATCGTGATGAAAAAGCTTCTTGTCCACTCCATTACGCTCTGACCGAACGGATGCTGGAATAAGGAAATGACACCTTACCGAGTGAGGCCCTGGCCAGCGTCCCTCCCGAGCTGAGTTTCAGATCATGATTCCAGCTGACATCAGGCAGCTGTTAGATGAGAGTTTTTCTCCTGCCCTCCCAACCCCCACGATCTGCCCCCAGCCCTCCCTCCTCCCTGGGGAAATCACTTCTCTTTTTTTCATTTTGGGCCACATCAGTGTTTAGCAGGAGCAGGCAGCCATGCCTTGTTGGAGCTGTGATCTAACACCAGCTGACAGGTGGGTTTCGGGGGTGTCTCTGGGGCCGTGGCCTGTTTAGTGGATTTACCACTCTAAACTCAATTACAGGAGACTTTCACGCTCCACAGGCAATTCCAGCCCCTTTTTAATAAAAACTCTGGTTGGTAAATAAGTCATGATGATGATAGGGGCCTGCCATTTAATATTCATTGAAGTACACGTGTTTGGAAATTGGAAGCAGAGTTTAATCCATTTTCATATTTATATCAACATGCAGCTTTAGAAAGGATCCCTCCTTTCCTCCAGCAATCTTGTCCATTTCTTGTTTGGAACGATAAAGGTAAACTGGACATCAATTTTACTTTTTAAAAGAAATTAGAAATATCTGACATTATAATTAGGAAAGTGTGAGCTTCAGATCTGTTCATCTTCGACTCAGAACTAATTCCTGCTTTTCATGTGAACTCGTGGGAGAGGTAGGTAACAGATAAATCAAAGCTGTTACCATTTGTGGCAGCTAGATTTTTTGGATTTAACTTTGCTATGGGAGCTCAGGGATTAGAGCCAGCCCAAGGAATGCAAAAGCACTCCACTTTATGTAAAGGTAAGATTCACAAAATCACACTGTTCTTGCTCACCAGTAAAAGTTACGGGACTGTTCATCAAGGGAGATTGAAACCTGGGGAGAAAGAGTTAACAGTGAAGGGTGTGGGGCACTGTGGCGCTGCCCCTCCTCACTCCTGCTTTTTTTTTTTTTTTAATATGGATGAATGTTTAAGTATGGTGCTGTGGTTGAAGGCAACTCTTTAAATAATGCAACACATAGCTTCCTGAGGGGACAGCAGTTGATTTGGAAACTGAATATGGTGCACTCTAAATTCTCCTCCTCGAGGAGGGCTGACTAACTGATAAGTGCCATGAGCGAGCAGGGGGACTCATTCTGTCAAATCAGCTTGCTGCAAAGGCCCCATGCGGAATCCTCTCCAGTCTCTGGGAGCTAATATGAGCAGACACTTGTGACATTAGACAGTGCAGCAGACCTGGCATAAAGGAAAAGTTCACCATCCGCTGACAAGGTGGTCTTTAGATGACAAGGATAAAGAAATCAGTGCAAATTTGTTAATGTAACAACTTGGAAAAGTATGCTTAAAAAAAAGCCACCTTATGGAGAGAGAGGATCAAAAGAAAAAGAAGGCAAGTGTAGTGCTTGGAAGCTTTTGGGCTTTCTGCACCTTCAGGGCCATTGACTTTTCTCTTGTCCTTCTTCTAGGCTGGGGTACCTTCAGTTGAGTGAGTCCTAAACTTCATCATTCTATGAGATGTTCTGTTGTTTTGTTGTTCAGTCGCTCAGTTGTGTCCAACTCTTTGCCACCCAATGCACTGCAGCACGCCAGGCTTCCCTGTCCTTCACTGCCTCCCGGAGTTTGCACAAATTAATGTCCATTGTGTCGGTGATGTTATCTAACCTTCTCCCATCCCCTTTTCCTCTTGTCCTCAATCTTTCCCAGCATCAGGGTCTTTTCCAGTGAGTCAGCTCTTCACCTCAGATGGCCAAAGTAATGGAGCTTCAGTACCAGTCCTTCCAATGAATTTTCAGGTTAATTTCCCTTAGGATTGACTGGTTTGATCTTGCAGTCTGAGGGTCTCTCAAGAGTCTTCTCCAGCACCACAATTCGAAAGCATCAATTCTTTAGCGCTCAGCCTTCTTTATGGTTCAACTCTCACATCTGTACGTGACTACTGGAAAAATCATAGTTTTGACTACACAGACCTTTGTCAGCAAAGTGATCCCTCTGCTTTTTAATATCCTAGGTATGTCTTCCAAGGAGCAAGCGTCTTTTAATTTCATGGCTGCAGTCACCATCTGCAGTGATTCTGGAGCCTAAGAAAATAAAATCTGTCACAGCTTCCACTTTTTCCCCATCTATTTGCCATGAAGTTATGGGACCGGATGTCATGATCTTAGTTTTTGAATGTTGAGTTTTTAAGCCAGCTTTTTCATTCTCCTCTTTCACCCTCATCAAGAGGCTCTTTAGTTCCTCTTCACTTTCTGCCGTTAGAGTAGTGTCATCTGCATATCTGAGGTTGTTGATATTTCTCCCAGCAATCTTGTTCCAGCTTGTGATTCATTCAGCCCAGCATTTCGCATGATGTCCTCTGCATATAAGTTAAATAAGCAGGGTGACAATATATATCCTTGTCATATTCCTTTCCCAATTTGAAACTAGTCAGTTGTTCCATGTCCAGTTCTAACTGTTACTTCTTGACCCAGATACATGTTCTCAGGAGACATGTTTAGTAAGATGGTCTGGTATTCCCATCTCTTTAGGAATTTTCCAGTTTGTTGTGATCCACACAGCTGCATCAAGCTGGGGCTCATTGCAGTGGCTTCTCTTGTTGCAGAGCACAGGCTCTAGGCACTCGGGTTTCAGGAGTTTCCACGAGTGGGCTCAGTAGTTGCACAGGCTCAGTAGTTGTGGCACACAGGCTTAGTTACTCCTTGGCAGGTAGGATCATCCCAGGACAGGGATTGAACCCGTATCTCCTGCATTGGTAGGTGGATTCTTTACCACTGAGCTACCAGGGAAACCTCAAAACAGCATGTTATCAAGTGGGATTGGCAGGAGGCAGAACTATGTATGGTTAAAACACAGACACTACAGTTGAACAGACCTGGGTTTAAATCTATCAAACAAGTTATTTAATATCTCTGAACCTCGGTCTCCTCAGCTGTGATGTGGGGGCAATAGTGGTATTTACCTCCTAGGCTTGCTACATGAATTAAACGAGGTAATGTCTGGCTGATGCATATATCCCAACAGAGGTGCTAATGTCTGTCAACAAATAATGACTTAGCTCTTCTATTCTCAACCCCTCCACTCATTGAGAGACCTCAGTGCCTCCCAGGTTGTAGTAGAAGTTCTGCAATGGGAATCAGCACCTGTGGGCTTTGTCAGCACCTTTTGTGCTTGACTAAGCAGTTTGTTGATGGACATATGATGTGTTTACTGAGATCACCACATACCCCTGTGTAATGGCATGGTTCTTCTGTGAAAAACAACAGTGAGATCAGATCCCTGTTCTCATGTCCATAGGTTTTCTTTTTTTAATTAGTTGGAGGCTAATTACTTTCCAATATTGTAGTGTTTTTTGTCATACATTGACAGGAATCAGCCATGGATTTACATGTATTCCCCATCCCAATCCCCACTCCCACCTCCCTCTTCACCCGATCCCTCTGGGTCTTCCCAGTGCACCAGCCCTGAGCACTTGTCTCATGCATCCAACCTGGGCTGGTGATCTGTTTCACCCTTGATAGTATACTTGTTTCAATGCTGTTCTCTCAGAACANGCCATATAATATTGAGCAGAGTTCCAGCTGCTATACAGTAGTCCTTGTAGGTTATCCAGGTTTATAGCTCTTTCAAAAATATTTATTGGATGCTATAGTTCAGTCTGTGTACTGGGTCTTACTTGTAATACCTTATTTTAATACTCACTATCAGGTGAATATTATTATACTTATTTTAGAGATGAGGAAACTGAAGCCTGGGAAGCCAGGCATTGCTATTTCCCCCAAGGTCTCACAGCTAATAAGAGCTAAGAATCAACTCCAAAGATCTTAGAACCACTGTGCTTTAAAAATTAATTCCATTAAAATACATTTTAAATTTGATTAGTATTGGCCATATACAATTCATCTTTCTACCAGGTTCTACAGTCATCTTTCTTTTTTTAAAAAAAAATACTACTTTTTCTTAAAAAAATTAATTTATTTACTTTAGGACATGCCATGGGGCATGTGGATTTAGTTCCCCAATCAAGGATCCAACTGGCACCCCCCTTCATTGGAAATCAGAGTCCTAACCACTGGATCACCAGGGAAGTCCCATAAAGACTTCTTTCTGATATTATAAAATCCTTAACATGGACAGTGGCCACCAGTTAAATGAATAAAGATGAAGCATTGGGTAGAAAATAGATTGATCAGCACAGAATCCACCCTCTTAACTGGATGATTATTTGTAGGCACTGGCTAGTTGATTAACTTACCCTGTGACCCATGTGCATTTGCTCTGATTATTGTTAGGATCAGCACACGTCTGGGGACACTAACTGGAGAATCCAGTCACCTATGTTAATTGAGCTCTATCTCCTGATTGTTCCTGGATGGCAAACTGACATGCACAGCAAGCAGCCTCACGGACTGAAGTTGAGCAAGGTCTGTCAGAGAGGGAAAATCCATATTAATGATATGCTATAAAACACTTTTTGTTAGTTACATATATTTCTTTACTTTCATTTCCCAAGAATAGCTCAGCTGTCAAAGCATTTCCAAGATTTCCATAGATTCGGCAAATACTGTGCGATCGAATTATTGCTCTGAGAGAAGCTACAATTAAAACACATTAATCACTGTAACAAAGGACCCTTATTGAGGCTGACAAAGATGGTGAAATCTGATGAATAATTGGTCTGGTTAATCTTTTAAAAATGAATTAAACTGCTAACAAGTTAAATCACTGTGATATTCAAAATAAGCCTCCAGGGTGAGCAGAGAATAGGAATATTATCATCATTTTTAAAAGATATTTTCTTCCTCATTCTCCTCTTTGGGCTTGCGCTGGAGGTCCTGGATGAGAACAGTGGGATCCAGAGGAGCAGCTGGGGAGAATGAGGCTGACCAAGCTTTCTCCTCCAATGATTTTTCAGTATATCTAAGGAAGTCATATGGTGGATGGAAAAGGAACCTTGCATCGTGACCTTTAAATCTGATTCAGAACTAATATGGCACCTGCTTAGCAGCCATTCTCTATGACCTCTGGTAGATCTATCACCCATTCTGACTTCTCTCCCACTGTAAGCCAACCAAACATGACAACAGGGTCACTCTGATATAACTTCCCCTTTTGCCCTTCTCTCTAGCCAGATAGCTTATTCTTCTAGACAACACCTTTTCTCCTTGCACTGCAATTACTGTGAAAGATTTGCCATACTCAGAAATAAACTCAGATGGGCAAACGTGAAGTAATAAATCATGGGAAATGGACAGCAGCAGACAATCCTTTGGGATGTAGTCTTCACTTTGGCCGAGCCTCCATAGCCTTTGGGGATTTTAGTGATGCTGTGATGTGTGGTCCAGGCCCACTTCAGGAAGAACTTATTTCTCCAGCTGCTGGGAGTGCTGCTGGAATTTGGCCCTCAGTTATTAGCCTTGAGTGAGAAAACTGCCCCTCCAAGGTCATGCTTCCTTCCAGGAACAGCTGGCAACTATTAATACTGATCAAGGTGGCAGTATAAAGACCAGCCTGACTTAGGACAGCTCCAAGGGGTCATCCTGATGCCACAGTTCCCTGTGGGGTTGGCTAAGGCCTTTGTTGGGAGAGTATCACAGCCCAACTTCTCCCTTATCCAATCCTAATTCTTCTCCCTTCTATAAGGACTAATCACAAGAGGACTCCCTAATAAACAAACTGACTGACAAACTGCTTCTCAGAATCTGCTTCCTAGAGGCCCCAACCATAACAGAAGAGGTTTCACTTGTGAGATGGAGGTCTCTGATGACTTTCCCCAAGGTCTCTCAGCTAATATGAGCCAAGAATCAAATCCAAAGGTGTTAGAACCACTGTTCTTTAGAAACTAATTCCATAAATTCCATTTTAAGTTTGAGACTAGTATTGGCCATATGCAATTCATCTCTTTACCAGGGTCTACAGTCATCTTTATTGTTTTTTCTTCTTAAAAATTAATTTATTTATTAATTTATGACTATGATTTATGACTAATGATGACTATTAACCCAATAAAAGCAGGAGGGAAAAATAAATCAGGAAAGTTCCCAAATCAGCTGCCTCCGAGCTCTATATTGCTCCTCCAGCAAAAGTATTCCTACCAACAGGTGCTATAGGAGATGTCAAGGATCATTTTTAAAGTTCTACTAATTCCCTTCCAATGAAAAAGTCTATTGTGAGGATATTAAGTCTTTCTTGACTTTTCATAGGAACAAATAAGACTGGACCTGGAAGAACTTTGGCTGGAATTACTGAAGAACACTGAAATCTTTAGAGATTAAATCAGGCTATGGTATATGTGTGTGTGTTCTATTTTTACACTCAGGATTGCTTTTTAAAATTTTGTTTTATAGCTATGCAACACAGTCATGTGGTTTCAAAGTCGAATCTACAAAACAATGTGTACTCAAAGAATTCTAACTGCCCCTGACCCTCCTATTCCATTCTCTCTCTCTCCCCTAAGAAACATGTTCAGGTGTTTCCTTTGTTGCGGCCCATATCTTTTTAAAAATCTTTCTTCTTTTTCACTCTCTCTTTCTCTTCACTCAGTTATCTATTGTGCTTATTATTCTCTTTTGTGTTTTCCTAATTTAGTCTTTATTTCTGAAATAAAAATTTCCTTTAATTTGAAATTTTTTCCTGGGTTTATCACCTCATTTCCAAAGTTTTCTGATTTTGAAATTTTGGATTCTAAATTGCCATTCTTTTATATCTTCTATCAGTTTTGAATTTTTCTTTTAGCTTGTTTGAAATATTAGGACCTGTCTTTCATTCATTTCATGAGCATATTTTTCTACATAGCTTTAGTTTGGAGGTGAAAAGGAGAGNAATATTAGGACCTGTCTTTCATTCATTTCATGAGCATATTTTTCTACATAGCTTTAGTTTGGAGGTGAAAAGGAGAGACTGGTGGGCTATAGCCCATGGGGTTGCAAAGAGTCAGGCACAGCTGAGCAACTAACACACTTTATTTTTAAAAACTAAGATAAACTGTGGGCTTCCCTTGTAGCTCAGTCAGTAAAGAATCTTCGTGCAGTGTAGGAGACCCGGGTTCGATCCCTGGGCTGGGAAGATCCCCTGGAGAAGGAAATGGCAACCCACTCCAGTATCCTTGCCTGAATAATCTCATGGACAGAGGAGCCTTGTGGGCTACAGTCCACGGGGTCGCAAAGAGTTGGGCATGACTGAGCGACTAACACTTACTACTGTTAACTTCCTGGCTGTTAAATCCAATTATCTTTTTTCAGTTTTTATCTTCCATGAGCTCTGTTTACTCTCAGACATCACTGAGCACTTTCACTTCCCTGAATGCTCACCTTTGCTAGATTGCTTTCTTTGATTTCTCATTCCTCAGCCAACCACAGAAATTTGCTGTTCTAGGGATTCCATCCTTGACCCTGGCCCCTTCTCATATTGTGTGCCCTCCCTGGGTGATCCCATTCCCTGCCTCAGTTTCCACTATCACTCAAATGTTAATCACTTCCTATTTACTTACTTATTTTCTTATCTGGGCTTCCCGGGTGGTGCTAGTGGTAAGGAATCTGCCTGCCAATGCAGAAGACATGGGTTTGATCCCTGGGCTGGGAAGATTTCCACCTCTCCTTATTGAAAAATGAACTTAAGACAATTCACTAAGATATACAGTGAAAAAATTAAATGAAAAAATCTAGGCAAAGGGTAGAGATGGGGTGGGGGTGCTAAAAATAAGGTTGAACACAAAATCTGGCTCTAAGATTTCCTGTAACCAGTGCAAAAAGGAAAACAGAATAACACATGTTTCTCTGTTTGCTCAATGGCACAGAATTTACAGCTCTGAGACTCAAGCATTTGGTCCCATAAAGTCCTCATAAAGGGTACATTGCACTGGGTTATGGTATGTTATTACAATGTATTAGTATAGTAAGTACAACAATGTTTTTCTACAAGCTTCTTTTTTTTAATGCCTCTCAATATTAATGAATTTGATATTTTTTCAAAGTAAACATATGGAGGCCAAAACAATATAGTCCAGGTACTCTGGTCTGTGACAATCAAGGCCATTTTTTCAAACATTTTAACAACAGACTTCTTTGTTTAGGAAGGAAATCTCATTTGGAGTACCAACACTTAAAACCAATTCGGTTGAAACAGTTCTGATTGAAAGAGAAACCAGAGACCCATTCCCTCTATCTCCTGTCTACCCACTCCTGCCTTCCAGCCTCTGAGGTTCAGCAGAACAACTTCTGGAAGCCACCATCCTGACTTAGATTCAAGAGTAAATTCATCTTGAATGAAGTGCTTTAGACAGTTCTCTGTAATTATATCCTGAAGCTGAACTTTGGGTCAGCATTGACTAAGCACATGGGGCAACAATTATTCATCAATACACTAAGCAAATTAGCATGACTATTTTGGAAGACAGTTTGGCAATATATTTAAAAAGTAGCAGTAAGTCATAGTGAGTTCAAGATTATATCCCCAAATATATGTAAGTATTCTAAGTTGCAATTTAAGGACAGATTCACATGATGAAATGATTGGCCAAGTTGAAGACAGGATCAGGATTCTCTTAGGCAGTGGTTCTCAAACTTAAATTGGTATCAGAGTCACCTGGAGGCTTGTTAAAACAGATTGATACCCTCCACTTACAGAATTTCTGACTTAGTAGGTCTGAGAAGGAGTCTGAAAATTTGTGTATCTCACAAATTCCTGGGTGATGCTGATGCTGCTAGTCTGGGTACCACACTTTGAGAACTACTGTTCTTAAAGAAACCTAGGGAAACCTAAGGTGGCTACCCAGAGTATCCAGCTGACACATACGTAATGTCCTCAAAATATAATCTTGAGGGGACTTCCAGTGGTTAAGAATTTGCCTGCCAATGCAGATTCAGTCCCTGGTCTGGCAGGATCTCATAGGCTTTGAAGCAACTAATCTCATGTGCCATAAATACAAGCCCATGCTCTAGACCTGCAACTACTAAAGCCTTCGTGCCCTAGGGCCTGTGTTCTGCAACAAGAAAAGCCACTGCAATGAGAAACCTGAGCACCACAATGAAGAGGAGACCCTGCTTGCCACAACTTGAGAAAGTCCACACATAGCAGCGAAGACCCAGCATAGTGTATATATATATATATATATATATATATGAATGTATATATGTAAAATTTTTGAATACAATCTAACTCCTGTGTAGAGCTATCAAGGAATTCATCCAAACTTTACCTTGCTATACAGAGCGATCCAATTATATTCTTTCCTCCAAACACTAACCAGGTACCCTTAAGCTTTATTAAATTATCTACTATGAAGCTTCCCTTTTAAGGAAAAGGAAGAGATCAATATTTCCCAGAATTCCTGGCAAGAATTCCCTAAGGCACATATTAAAATATAAATTCCCAGGCCCCTACCCAGGTATTGTTTGAAAATCAACTTTTGAGGAATAAGAAATAAAA